TCTTGTAAGAGGTAAAAGGAAAGGGAAGCAAGTGGAGAGTAGGGAACCTCATACCACCAAGAAAGCAGTGCCAGGAGCAGAGCATGTCCTTTGGACACGGGGTCCCTGTGCAAAGAAGCTCCTAATCCGGGAGAACATTGATGAGAAGGCCGACAGGGAGAGAAAGCCTTCCCCTGGAGCTGACGCCCTGAATTTGGACTTTTAGCTTACTTTACTGTGAAGAAATAAATTTCTCTTTGTTAAAGCCATCCACTCACGGTAGTTCTGTTAGAGCAGCACTAGATGACTGAGACACCTATATATTTACCATAATAAAATAAAAACGGGAAAAAAATAAGAAAAAAAAAAAAAGAATGGCCTGTTTGCTGGAGTCTGAGGCACAACTGTGACTTGTGCACGTGTGTGTAAGGGACACGCCACTCCCACCAGCGCTGGTGTTTGCTCAGATCAGGAGACCAAGGTCGCCCCAGTCTCTGTTTTCCCTCCTGCCAGTTTCAGCCACAAGGAGTAACCATGTATTCACAGGGCGGAGGCTGGAGACGTGTCACTGGCAATGGAATCCCTTTTCTTTCTGTAGGAAAAATTTCCAGGGAGACAGGCACCCCTGGGAGTAGGTGGAGATGATGAACTGGACAGGATTAGGAATGAGAAGAAACCTCTTTCTTCTGAAACCCCAGACTGGAACACCCCTGCCTTTAGCAGTACAGAGGGGGTAGGGGGAGTGGTCCAGAGGGAGCAGACATGGTTTGATGTGGAAGAAACAGTTCGACCTTGGGGACTTCCCACCTTTGTTACAGGAGCTGGTGCAGGGCTCTGATAAGGCTGGAAGTCAGGGGCCTCACTGTAGGGAGTCTCTGGGGAGAAATGTAGGTCTGGAAGTCTCATCTGGGGAAGGTCTGGGAGGGAGGCTGAAGGAATGGGCCTGAAGGGCTGGCGTGGGAGGGGCACTGGCTGAGAGTTTAGGCAACAAAATAGCACAGCATCTAAAGTCAGCAGGTTTCCCCACCTCAGACGCTCCCAGAGCCCTTGTGGGACCAGCGTGGGGGAGTGGGGAACTCACCCTAATTCTGTGCCTGGAACACTGTCCTGGGCAGGGCTGGGCCAGGATTTCTCAGCTGTACCCCAAGGCCCTGGGCTGAGCACCGAGTTGGATAGAGGGGAGGTGACTCATACTAGAGTTGAGATGGGGGTGATGGTGAGGTGTCCTCGAGAACCAATCTCCATACACCTGGACCTCTTCACCCCCTGCCCCACTCCCAGATGAGAATGGAGGAAGCTTCAGTGTCCCTCTCCAATCTGTGTATCATCTTCCTGGGCTTGCCAACTAAGTGGTCAGCAAATTACATAGGTACCGTCACTCTGGGGAGGAAATAGAATCCCCCATCCCCCGGCACGAATGCCTGTGTTAGTGATCGGGAATCCAGGACTTAAGTCTTGGATCTGCAAGTGTGGCTTCAACAGTCCCTTAATTTCTCATAGCCTTGGTTTCGTTGTCTGTAAAAAGTAACACTGTTAAGGGCTTTGTGGGCAGACTGACTCTTGAATCACATAGCTCAGCCCCTGCTACTTGTGTGAATTTGGACAAATTAGCTAACTTCTTTCAAGCCTTGGTTTCCTCCTCTGTAAATGGACATAGGATTGTTTCCAGAGTTAAAGAGCACCTGGCACCTAGTTGTCACTCAGTGAATGTCAATTTCCTCCCTTTCTGGCTGAGTTTTTGTTTAGACTTTTCAACTTTTCACCTGCAAATGTGTTTCACTCTTACTTCTGCCAGGTGCAGGGGTAACAGCAATAGCAGCAACAGTGAACAACCCAGACATCATGGGCCACATCTTTTAATCCCATTAAGAGGGATTAAAAGGAGCTGTGGGGATGGTTGGTGCCCAGAGTCAAGCCACCATCCTCACTATTAACGCGAGAACTAAATGGGCTGAAGAGGGCTTTGTAATCTGTGAAGGGCCGCCAGGACAGCTGGAAGGAATCAATCACTAGCAGGGAGGAAAGAAAATCATTCACTGTCAAGTTGATTTCTACTCATGGTGACCCCATGCGTGTCAGAGTAGAACTCTGCTCCATACGGTTTTCAGTGGCTGATTTTTCAGATCGCCAAGTCTTTTTGCGGAGGCATCTCTGGGCGGACTCAAACCTACAACCTTTGGTTAACAGCCAAGCATGTTAACTGTTTGTACCACCCGCAGACTCCCAATCCCCAAGAAACCAAAAAAACCAAACCCGTTGTCATCAAGTCAATTCCGACTCATAGCGACCCTGTAGGACAGAGTTGAACTGCCCCATAGGGTTTCCAAGGAGCAGCTGGTGGATTTGAACCGCCGACCTTTTGGTTAGCAGCCAAACTCTTAACGACTGCACCACTCCCCAAGAAGGAAGCCCAAATGATGGATGTTCAGACATGGCCACAGGCTGGTGAAGGGCCTCCAGCAATGGCTCCCAGCCCTCAGGATGGGACTCCTGGGCACAGGCCAGCCCAGGTTCAGGATTGCACAGACCTGCAGGGGAATCTCCTCTAAGGGGAAGGAATTTGCATGTTTCCAGAATTCCCAAAAGTTGCAATTCTGTTTGCCCTACAGGGAAACAGGTTCCGTGCCTGACACTTGTCTTCCTGGTTGAGATGTGTGTGGAATGTTGGTGGGAAATCGGGAGGCAGCGTCCAGCCCCTCCTTTAACAATGCCCCCAGCTCAAACGCTCTTGTTTGGGATGGGTATGTACCACCTGAATTACATACCTAGAAGGAAAAGGGCAATGTTTGACTCTATTTTTAGGATAGGACAGGACTTTAATGGAGTCCCTGGGTGGCACAAATTGTTAAGCACTCAGCTACTAACCAAAAGGTTGACAATTCAAATGTACCCGGGGGCACCTCAGAAGAAAGGCCTGGCAATCTATTTCTGAAAGATCACAGCCATTGAAAACCCTATGAGTACAGTTCTACTCTGACACTTGTGGAGTGGTCATGAGTCAGAATTGATTTGATTGCAACTAGTTTTTTAGAGGAGCCCTGGTGGCGCGTGGTTAAGAGCTTGGCTGCTAACCAAAAGGTCAGCAGTTCGAATCCACTAGCTGCTCCTTAGGCATCCTATGGTCCAGTTCTACTCTGTCCTATAGGGTCGCTATGAGTCGGAATTGACTCGATGGCCATGGGTTAGGATTAGTTTTTTAGAACTTGAATGAGTTTCAAGGTTCAGTTTTCGAGCCCTCAAATTTAACTCTAGTGGTTGAGTCTCTCCATTCATCCCCTTGAATGCCCTGATGATGATTTGCACTCTTGTCACCACCACCCCACCACCACTACCACTGCCACCCACCGCCACGTCCACTACTGTAGAGTATTGACACATAAGGCAGGTAGCAGAAGACATAACAACGAGCATACTTAAAATAGGGAGCAGAGTTCAGCCATTAAGAGCATGGACTTTAGCTCCAGACTGCCTAGGTTCAAATCCTGGTTCTGTCATTTACTACCTGTGTGGTCTTGGGCAAATTATTTAACCCCTCTGTGCCTCAGTTTCCACATCTACAAAGTGGGGGTGATAATAATAGTTTCTGCCTCTTAAACTTATTGTGAGGATTAAATGAATTCGTATATGTAAAACACTTAGCACAGTGCCTCACAGTTGCTGTTGAGTTGATTCCAGCTCATGGCAACCCATGTGTGTCAGAGTAGAACTCTGCTCCTTAGGGTTCTTTTTTTTTTTTTTTATTGTATTTTAGATAAAGGTTTACAGAACAAATAGTTTCTCATTGGACAGTCAGTACACATATTGTTTTATGACATTGGTTAACAACTCCATGACATGTCAACACTCTCCCTTCTCGACCTTGGAGGACCCTTTTTTTGGTGAAAGTATACACAGCCAAAGTTACAGCATTTCAAAAGTTTCTACACGTACAATTCAGTGACATCAGTTACATTCTTCCAGTTGTGCTGCTATTCTCACTATCCTTCTCCAGATTACACCATCACCATTATCTTCAACTCACTGCCCCCTAGGCTTCCTATCAAACCCCTTGAGTTGCTGTTGTCAATTTGATCTCACATAGATAATTATTTTTTTTGTACCTTAGATGAAGGTTTTCAGAACAAATAGTTTCTCATTAAACAGTTAGTACACATATTGCCCTATGACAATGGTTAACAACTCCATGACATGTCAACACTCTCCCTTCTCAACCTTGGGTTCCCTGTCACCAGCTTTCCTGTCCCCTCCTGCCTTCTAGTCCTTGTCCCTGGACTGCTGTGCCTCATTGGTCCTGTTTTGTTTCATGAGGCTGTCCAATCCCCGGCTGAACGGTGAACTTCGAGAGTGACTTCACCGCTGAGCTAAAAGGGCGTCCGGGGGCCATACTCTCGGGGTTTCTCCAGTCCGTCAGACCACTGAGCTAAAAGGGCATCCAGGGGCCATACTCTCGGGGTTTCTCCAGTCCGTCAGACCGGTAAATCTGGTCTTTTTTTTGTGAGTCAGAATTTTGTTCTACATCCTTTTCCAGCTCTGTCCAGAACCCTCTATTGTGATCCTGGTCAGAGCAGTCAGTGGTGGTAGCCAGGCACCATTTAGCTGTACCAGACTCAGGCTGGTGGAGGCCTTGGTAGCTGTGGTCCATTAGTCCTTTGGACTAATCTTTTCCTTGTATCCTGTTCTCTTCATTCTTCTTGCTCCCTAATGGGTGAGACCAGTGGAGTATCTTAGATGGCTGCTCATAGGCTTTTAAGACCCCAGACACTACTCACCAAGGTAGAATGTAGAGC